ATGTAAGAATACAGATCTTAAGGGATTGCATCTCTTAAAATAGAAGTTCTGAAACAGAAATCAAAATGTCAAACTGTTATGGAGCTGTTAATAAGGATGATTGCACCACCCCCAACTTCAAATAGTCCAATACAATGTTCACAACATTAACCTGATGCGTATAACATGGGTTTCTGTAGATTGTCCAAGCATTTTCAGTTTGTTTTATAGCCATTTTTTGTTGCTTCAACTTAACTCGTCACTTGCACATATATCAAAATATTTTGAACAGAGCAAGACGAGCTAAGCTCATCCAAAAGCAAAACAAATTTTAACGTGGCAGTTATTAACTCAAGTTCTCACAAGAAGTATGCCAGCGATTTCTTTTTCCTTCCAACATAAGGCGTGGCCCAGGTAACACTGCCAGAAAATTGCAAATCCATCCACTTATAAGTCTTCCATAGAAATTGGAAAATTGCGAAGTTAGACCGATCAATTTTCTTTTTCAACATTACGAGTGATTACATTATCTAAAACGCCCATTATTTTTATCTTTTTCTAGCTCCACTTTATCAAATTGAATAAATGCAAAGATGAGTATCGTTAAGTCGCTACCATAGCATCTTGAACCGCATTGCAAATAAACGAAAGATCAACAAGATAATTTCCACTTACTCGCTAATCCCTTCGTACACTGTCCCAAAGGAACCGCTCCCTAGAAGCTGCCCGCGCATCCACGACCCAACAATTCTCTTAATCCGTCCCTTCGGCGATATCAAAAACATCGACTCTGTTGTGGTGCTCGAAGAATCATCATCATTTGAAGTCGAAAACGAACCAGTACAATCCTCCGAGGTCTCCCCGGCAATCGCTCTCATCTCTTCCACAACTTCCCTAACTTCAACAGCAACCCTTACCTCCTCCTCATCCGAGTCAAAAGACTTTCTCATATATCCTTCATCAATCTCATCCGGTGGAGCAAACGATCTCACTAGATCCCACGTTGAGCTCGTTCCATCGAGCACTGGCAACTTCATGAAAGGCGGCCGATCAAGGACTGACCGACCGGGCGGAGGAGGAAGAATAGAGACAGTACCCTGAGAAGTGGCAAGGACCGGCGGCCTGACGCCTTTGATCCGTACATCTCCAGCGCCTATTCCACACGCCGACGAGCGCGAGATCTCCGCCTTGGTCTCGAACAAGCGATCCAAAGCGGCAGGAAGCAAAATTTCACTCGGCTGATGCGAGCTCTCGGATTTGACAAATGGGAATCGAAGGACGAGATCGCAAGAGGATCGAGCCTTAAGGGAGGCCTCCCACGCGGCGGCGGGGATAGCGAAGTCTTCAGGGCCGGAGAGACCGAGACTGCGACAGAGAAGATCAACCTCGCCCTCGACACTGCCGCCGATGCGAAAGCTCGTCTGGTCCGAGCAAGCCCCAGGCGACAGATCAATAGAGTGCACCAGCGCCGGCGTTTTGCCCCACGAAGACGATGCCCATGGAACCTCGTATTCGACCTTTTTACTGGCGTTACGCTGATCGATCTTACTCCGCCGGACCGATGCCGCCGTCATCTCCCGCCGGCGGTCGGTCTTCTTGCTGCCGAAAGAGAACATCGGTCGCCCATTAGGGGGAAGGGGCTAGGATTTGGAGATGGGAATGCGGAACCGAGGATTGGTTCTGATGCTTCAGCTGTGAGTGGTTGACTCAGCATCAAGGAAAGAAGAGAGAGTGAGAGAACGGAGGCGATGAACATTTGGCGGGCGTGGGGTTTATAGCGTCTCAACGCAAAGAGCCGGCTTCGCACAACTGGCGGTGTTTTCTTCTATGCTCCGACGTGGATTTCTTTGTCCGGAGACAACGGCGGTCTCACTCAATAATAAAACCTGT